TAGTCACGTTCAACAAAAAAATTGTGATCTCTACTATTTGTCTATAAATAAAATCACCATTTTTTTTCCTTTATGTCGATTCTTATATTGACACCAAAGCTTCTCCTTGGATTTCCTTTTTGATCAATTACAATTCATTATTGTGCACCAAGTATTAGTGTCTGTACTAAGTACCTAATTTTAATAATTGTATTTGCATTAGTGAGTTGAGGATGTTTGAAAGAAAAAGACTCCGTTCAGACAAGAGTTTTAGATGCTATTTACTTTGTAAATTTTAGAATTTGAATTTCCTTAGATAAAAAAATAATATTGGAATTTGAGAGGTGTTTAAATAGAAAATTTGAAGATATTTTGGATGAATTCTAAACTATAAATATGATAAATGATGTGAAAATATATAAAAGATTGATTTAATATATTTGATAGACAAAAAACTGAATTTAAATTCGTTGGCAAACACAAATAACTGGGATAGCCACACAAGCCGGACAAGGCTATGATATCACTTTAATTATTAGAAAGGAAAAGAAGAGCAAAAAGCAAACTATGAATTAGTCTTCGAGTGAACAAGATGTGGAGGTGCGGCGAATTTGAAATCATGACCTCACTGTCAATAGTTCACTCAACACCACCATCTCTTACCGGACAATTAGGGAATCATTTTTATCACACGATGTATTATTATTATTATTATTATTTGATAATGCGAGAATCTGCCGTCGCTATTCGTCGAGTGCGCACTATTGGTAAATCTCGGGTCGAACCTAATACTTTGTAAACTTGGCCTGACAAGACAAATCACATGTGAACCATATGTGACAGATGGACCTGAAGGCGTCGAAACCAACTTAATTAGGATGATGAATGCGATTACTATATTACCATTGTTAATAATGTAAACAGCAAAAAGTAAACGACTAAATTCCAAAATTCCATAGTAATTATTCTCAATACATAATATCAAAGCAAACTTCCATGGCATCTGATACACACATGAGCTTCCATTAACATTGCAACGTGACAAGTTTTATGACATACTGTCTTATTTCATCGTCTTTAATTCCCAACTATAGCGTCCAAGAATCGCGACAAATCTCATCCTATGGCGCGAATGTCGTATTATAAACAACAACGTCGTATTTGAAAACATAATCAGTCCTATACTTGTTGACATAATAAGTCGAGGTAGTGGCGTAGCCCCAAGCTAGCTTGAAGGCGCTGGTGCCTCCAACAATCGAGACCTCTCTCACTTCATCCTCAAGTGGATTTCTTCCAAAAATGTTGAGTGTGCTCCCTTTCCACTCCCCTTCTGTAATAACCAGATTGACAATCACGTCCAAGGCTACTTCTCTCAAGTCAGATGACACAGTAGCCCCTTGGATTCTGCCCAATTTTTTCGAGGTGATTTCAGGTCCATATGTGGCTAGAACATCAACTACGTACACGACCCCGAACGCGGACGGCACCTGATCTGTTATGATCGACCTCGCCACGGAATAAACATTTTGGCCGTCGCCTAGAGATCTATCATGAGTGTAGAAAGTGAATCGGATTTCGTTAACCGTTTCGAGGCAGGTTGAATTTGATGATGATTGTGAAGGCCATGGAATGATGCTGAGTAATGAAATGAAGAGAAAAATTAGTTTGGGGTTTTCCATTGCCATTCAATCCCAAGAGGTATGTTGAACAAGACAATGAGCAACTAAATACGTCATGGTGTGTGTGTATATATATATATATAGATGCATAGGGTTTTGTTTGGTTGAGGGTATGGGGATGGGTTCGAAGTTTGAAAATTGGAGTTAGGAATTTGATATGATCAAAATAAATATTGGGTAAATTGTATAATACAGTTTTGTGTTTTATGAAAAAAAAAATACATCGAATACTCTATATTTTATTTATTGCATAAAACATCTTTACATTTAGCATGTAATCTGCATAAATTACGTTTGTTTTTTTTTTTTTTTCGTCCAAAATAATGACGACTAAGGATCGGATACTTATTATAGAAATGATTTCGTATAGAAAATAAATGAACTTTGTATTTCAAATATAACGTTTTACTATGAAAAAGAAATAAAATAGATAATGTTGACTATTTTTTTTTTTTTCAATCTTATTTAAGAAATTATGTGAATTTTGTTACTTCATTCGTCTTATAATAAAATATCAATTTACGTCTTTGTACTTAATATTAAAAATATTATTATATTTGTATAATTTTTGGATAAATGCCATTATACTAATATTATAATAAGACACTAATATAAGTATTTTTGCGATTTTTCTTTAATTTGTAATACATTTTGATATAATAATTAATATTCAAATATCAACAAATAAAAAAGTAAATTGATACTTAGTTACGAAGAGTATATATATTTTCTAAAAACGGCGTGCCTATTATACAAGGATAATTTTAAATTACATAGAAATCAATATTGTGAAGTTTCTTGTTTATAAACAAAAAACAATGTTGACAGTTTATTTTCTTAATTTCGCCTTAAAAAAAATTACATATATCATGTGCTCATTTTAAAAAGTCATATGCATAATAGGCTGGTGGTTTTTAGTTACTTTTGAATGTAAAGAGTATATAAAGTATAATTTATGCTAATATAAGAAGTTTTATACAATACAAGTGTATTCTATATATTTTAATAAAATATGTTATTTGATATGAAGCTTTAAATGGTAAAAATTAATTATTTATATATATTTTGGATAGAAATAATTGTTTAATTCGATGGTATTAAAGCTAAAAATAATGCTTTTTCCGTCATAAAAAATATAATTATTTTTTTGTTGTAAAATAAAAAGACTTATTTTTTTTAAGCAAAAAATCATATTACTTTTTACTAATTTTTATTTTTTATTATGATAAAAAATACACGCTACGTTTAAAATTTGTTCGATGACGGAGGAAGCTAGTGTATAATACAAAATTGAGCTGAAACCTGAAAGAAAAAGGAAGCTATGAGAATGGGAATGGAGGTTATCCACACACAACCCTCACAACTCAAGAAATAAGATTTTTGGACGTATAATGATAATGACATGAAATGCATTGCCTTTCCATTTCATAAATTTCCATAATCAGCAAAAAAATGGAGACTTTGAAGTTGGTCCCTTCCAAAAATTTTATTGTTTTCAAGAGTTCTAGTTTATCTTGTGAAGACACTAAGGAAGGTATTATTTAATTAGATCGCTTCAAAATTAAACTTGCCGAGGATTAAGTCGGAAGTCTCATTAGTGTGGCATTTCACTAATAACAACTAATAATCCAATAATAATTTGAAATGAATAACTTATACGTTATCTCTTAACAATGCATTGATAGTGACTAAGACTTTGCTTACATAAACATTTTTTATTAAAAAAAAAAAAAAAGAAATGCTAGCCGATGCTATTACATGTCACAAATGTATCACCCAATTTAGTCTAACTATTACACGCCATAGCATAAATAAGCAGAGCAATAGAAATCGAGAACTCTCACTACAAAAAAATAATATATTTGTAACGGAATTCCGTCCCTAAAGTTCAAATAGCTAATATAATTCCATTCTTATTTCCGTCTCTAATGTCATTAGTAACAGAAAAAGTAGATTTAGAAATAAAAAAATTTTGTTAAAAAATGATTTTTTCTTATCGTGTCTCCCTCGATCCAAGCGCGAGCATTTAATTTCATTTTACCGGAAAGTAGTAAAAATAACTAAAAAGCCATTACCAACTCACCAACTTTGCCAACTTCTTCCTTATATATCTTCCTTTGTGATAGATATCATGTCAATAAGGTTTGAGCCAATATTTAATTCTAATCATGGCCGAGAGCCCCATTTTCATCATATGATGGTGGTCCGCAGACCGTCTCGAATTTTTTCAGAGCCCAAGAAAATTCTATAAAAAATAATTAAATTTATATTCAAAATAATATCAACAAGAAATATAATAATAAATTCCACAGAGTAAAAATCTAATATCATTAATAAAAACCAAATAATATTTTAACTATTATAAAACTAATTTTCTAATAATAATAACAACAATATGAGTTCTCTCGAGCCACAGTCAATTGTGGAAAAAATTTTTAGTCATGATCATATCTCCAAGTAATTTTAAAACCCAACATACGTATTAATAATAATGGACTAAAAAAAAAAAAAAATGCCCTCTTAAGTAAGAGACCCTAAGCAATTAATTTCTTGCTTCTCTTATGAGCTGGCCATGGTAGTTCGGAAAACTACCATATCTGATTTTGCTAAAACTGCAATAGTTGGTCATCTTGCATAGGGGCTGTCCAATATTTGTTATCTAGGGCTTCCTCTATGTTCCATACCTCCATTTTTGAAATATAATAGTTCAATCCAACAAGTTCACAAAAAATTATACATTTACCTCTTGTAGTTCTTTCAGCTCATGAATCATCAATAACATCACCAGTAGAGTCAGCCACGCACTCACCGGAAAAGGACAACTTTAAGGTTGCCATTTTTAGCATCTTTTTGTTCACTAGTCATACCTTGTCACGTCCTTAATTTGTAAAAGACTTTAACGACTTTGGGAGTTCCCATATGCACTAAGGGATATGTTCTTTCTGCATCAACTTGTGAGAAAATTGACAGAGTTGAAAATCTTCAAAAGTAGCAAGCAGACATAAGACCAAGGTTTGTAGATAGTCGTCTCATTAGAGATGACCTGGTGGTGTAGGGTGAATTCGTGACCGTGAAATCATGATCTGTTCAAACCCCGACGCCTCCACCAGGTCTTGTTTGCCGCACATAGTTTACTTAATGTTACTTGCTTTACCGGGTCATAAAGAAAGGATTTGTAGGTAGTCTAATGATCAGTCTGGAAATGACAAAACAACAACATAAATCAACACTTTCAAAATTGTAGTGACAATTTTATACTTTATTCCAGCTTAAATTTATTCTGTTTCATGTTTAATTCGCAGTGACAACATTGATCGAAGAAGAATCTTGGGCGAACACAGCCTAATCCGTGAACGTAGCATTATACACAACTGCCTCATATTTGGTAACACTATAAGCCCCAGGGTCGACGACATAATAAGTCTTAACTAAGATGTAGCCCCACACCAACTGGAAGGCGCCGGTGCCTCCAACAATGGAGAGCTGTCTTAATTCTTCATTAATCGGATTCCTTCCGACAATGGTGAGCGAGCTCCCTTTGTATTCCCCGTGTGTAAAAAGCACGTTGAAGGTCATAGTCCACGCCGTCTCCTCAAAGTCGGAAAATGCAGCATGCCCTTGGATTCTGCCCAATTTGCCTGACTCGATTTCAGGTCCAGATGTCATTAGAACATCACCTACGTACACAACCCCGAATTTGGACGGCACCTGATCTGTTGCGATTGACCTTGCGACGCTATAAACTGTCTGATTATTCCCTCTGAATATGTCATGGCTGTAGAAATTGAGCTTGATTACACTTACTCTTCCCCAGCAGAGTTGATCAGGTGATTGGGGTTCCGATCTTGCCCCTGATATGATTTTGAGCAACCAGATACAGACCAGAAATAATTTTAGGGTTTCCATTTCTATTGAATGGCGCCGAGAGATGTATATATGTCATACACACATATGTATATATATACATATGGTAAGAGATGTTAATTGAACAAGCAACTGTAAGAATGGTGATGGAGGTTGCCGATACATGATTGTATTAGGATTTATGGTCATTAGGAGAAACCTTAAAGAAAGGTCTGTATAATATGAATTTTTTCAATTTATGTACAGAATTAATGTACAATTAATGGATGTACTGTCGCGGAGATTAGGAAATAAAGAAAAATAACAAACTGCACAATAGCGCAAAGATTTATTACACTTAGTTTAATCAGGATAATTTAGGTCTGGGCCGGCCAAACAAGATGTTTTCACTAGTATTATCAGGTGTAAATTGTGGAGAATACAACAAATATAGTATACCCGAAAAAATCCTAGTTTGCGGCTAATAAACTGTACCGACAAAATGGCTATACTATTCCTCCCAGGCTCCAACTTGAGCTTATGAACGATAAATGCATGTGTTGCTTATCCCTTCCATATATTTTCATAAAGAATATTTAAAAAGAGAGCATTGACATATGTCCCTTTCTTAGCTATATTTTATTTTTATCCAAATGTAGTTGCTTCCCAAAGTTCTATATTATTAGATCATTTGGGAAGATTTTAGTCTTCTTTAGGTTAGGGTTTTTTGCGTGTGGAATTTCATGTAGAAATGCTAATTAACAAAATTGTAATCGGTAGTTTATACGTCTCGATAACACATCTACGAAAAGGTAAGAAAGGACAGACACTGGTAATTTGTTACTCAATCGATCAATCAGGTGTTTCAAGTAACTTTGTCCATTTTTTTTTCTTTAATTTGTTTTGGATAAGTAATTTTGTCCATTTTAATCACATAGCTGATACCCAAATCAATATTCCACCTTCTTAGAAGTATGTTGAACTTCTTGCTAACTATTGTCACTAACAAATTCAAAAGAAAAGAAAAAAGTATAAATAGAAGAATCTAATATAAAAAAGTAGAAGAAGCCCAATCGTTTCGATAAAAAAAAATCCAAAATCATTGTCCAAAGGGAATCTACTGCAAGCAACTCTTCAAAAGTTAACCAATACTAAGAAAATTATTATAATCACCTACGAGACATAATATACATTACCAAAAAAGTTGTGATCTCCACTGTCTGTCTTGAATTAAAATCACCATATTTTTTCTTTGATGTCGACAAAGCTTCATCATTGTGGACCAAGTATTAGTTTTCATACAAAGTGCCTAATTTTAATAATTTTGTTTGCATTGGTGAGTTGAGGATGTTTGAAAGAAAAAGATTTTGTTTCGACAAGAGTTTTTAGATGTTATTTTAGTTTGTAAATTTTACGATATGAATTTTCTTAAATTGAGAAAATAATATTGGGATTTCAGAGGTGCTTAAATAAAAATTTTGAAGATATTTTGGATGAATTTCTAAATTATAAATAGAAAAAACTGTACAAAATCCACAGTGGTCCAAATTTTTCATATTTTCAAAATTGCCTCAATTTTATTGTCTTATTCACAGTTTGCGCGCAGGTGAATGATGATGTAAAAATAAAAATATTAATTTAATATATTTGATAGAAAATAAATTGAATATGAATTTATTGGTAAACACAAATAGCCGGGATAGCCACACAAGCTGGACAAGGCTATGATATCACTTTTGTGGAGTTATTTTTGGCTAATGACATGTGAGGCCGGTGATGCACAAACCCGACCCGCACAACCCGAAATCCAAATTCTGTAATCACGAACCAAACCCGTTCTGTTGAGAACCGGTGATCTGATGCTGAACCGCCCGAGCTGAACCGAACCGGTCCAGAACAGTGCAATATATATATATATATATATATATAATACTTCTGCCCGGTTCGAGATATTCAGACTCTCACTCACTCACTCTCACACTTTGTCTATGTGTAATAACAACTTTAATAATTAGAAAGGAGAAGAAGAGCAAAAAGCAAACTATGAATTAGTCTTCGAGTGCACAAGATCCGGAGGCGTCAAGAATTTTATCCCATGACCTCAGTGTCACTCCACACCACCGTCTCTTATACGGGGCAATTAGTGAATAATTTTTATCACACGATGTATTACTATTTTATTTTATTTTGATAATATAAGAATTCGCAGCCGCTAATCATCGGGTGTGCTTTGGGTAAACTCCCGATCGAACCTAATACCTACAAACTAGGCCCGACAAGACAAGTAACACGTGAGCTTCCATTAAGATGATGAATTAGATTACCATGTTACCATTGTTATTAATGTCAACAGCAAAAAGTAAACAACTAAATCCCAAATTCCTTAGTAATAATTCTCGATACATAATATCAAAGCAAACATCCATGGCATCTGATACACACATGAACTTCCATTATTGCAACGTGACAAATTTTATGACATACTGTATTTTCTCATGGTCTTTAATTCCCAATTATAGCGGCGAAGAATTGCGATGAATCTCATCCTATAGCGCGAATGTCGTATTATAAACAACAACATCGTATTTGTAAACGGCACGAGTCCCATACTTGTTGACATAATAAGTCGAGGTTGTGGCGTAGCCCCAAGCGAGATTGAAGGCGCCGGTGCCTCCAACAATCGAGACCTCTCTCACTTCGTCATAAAGTGGATTTCTTCCAAAAATGCTGAGTGTGCTCCCTTTCCACTCCCCTTCTGTAATAACCAGATTGAGAATCGTTTCCAAGGCTACCTCTCTCAAGTCAGATGACACAGTAACCCCTTGGATTCTGCCCAATTTTTTTGAGGTGATTTCAGGTCCATATGTGACTAGAACATCAACTACGTACACGGCCCCGAATCCAGACGGAACCTGATCTGTAATGATCGACCTCGCCACGGCATAAACACTTTGGCCGTCGCCTAAGGTTTTATCTTGAACGTAATAAGTGAATCGGATTTCGTTAACCGTTTCGAGGCAGGTTGAATTTGATGATGACTGTGAAGGCCATGGAATGATGCTGAGCAATGAAATGAAGAGAAAAATTAGTTTGGGGTTTTCCATTGCCATTCAACCTCAAGAGGTATGTTGAACAAGACAATGAGCAACTAAATACGTCATGGTATGTATATGTATGTGTGTATATATATATATATATATATAGGTATATGGGGATGGGTTTGAAGTTTGAAAATTGTAAAAATTGGAGTTAAAATAGGAATTTGATATGATCAAAATAAATATTGGGTAAATTGTATTTTATGAAAAAAATTATAGTAAACACTATATTTTATTTATTGCATAAAATACTCTTATGTTTAACACTTAATCAGCATAATTTATAATTTTTTTTTTTTGGTTCAAAATAATGAGGATTAAGAATGGGATAATTTATCTTTTTTTTTTGGTTCAAAATAATGAGGATTAAGAATGGGATACCTTGTTGAGATTCTCGTTTGCGAATATATAAATAATGGCTGAGTTTTTCTAATAGTTCGAGCTTTTAGGTGAGACAATATATGGAAATGATCTCAGTATAGAATATAAATGAACTTTGTAAAATTTAAAATATAAGTTCTACTAAGAAAAAGAAATAAAATAGATAATGTTGACTATTTATTTTTCTATCTTATTTAAGAAATTATGTGAATTATATTATATATTTTCTAAGAACGATGGGACTATTATACGGAAAATTTCATATTACATAGAAATCAATGTTGTGAAGTTGTATTATAGTTTTTATTCATTAAAAAAAAACAAAACAAAAAAAAAAACAATGTTGACCCTTTGTTTTCTTAATCTTGGCTAAAAAAATTTATAAATATCATGTGTTCATTTTCAAAAGTAATATGCATAATAGGCTTCCGGGTTTTAGTTATTTTTGAATGTAAAGAGTATTTGAAGCAAAGTTTATGATAATATTAGAACTTTTATATAATATATAAAATACAGGATTATATATATTTTATTAAAATATGTTATTTAATATAATGTTTTAAATGATAAAATTAATTATTTATATATTTTGGATAAAAACAATTGTTCAATTGAATCGTTTTATACCTAAAATAATACTTTCCTGTCATAAAAAAAAAAAAAAACTTATTTCTATTTTTTTTAGCAAAAAATCATATCACTTTTTACTATTTTTTATTACAATGATAAAAAATATACGCTACATTAAAATTTGTATACAAAATAAATCTAGTTAACTTTTACAATGATGGAGGAAGCTAGTGTATAATGCAAAATTGAGCTGAAACCTGAAAGAAAAAGGAAGCTATGAGAATGGAAATGGAGGTTACCCACACACAACCCACACAAGATATAAGATTTTTGGATTGCCATGTTCGTCTAGTGTGACTTTTCCGTCGGGTCTGGTTTGGAGGGTATTAGGATCGGCCGGGGGTTTACTCAGTGCGCACTTTCGGGTAGCGGCTGCGGATTTCCATGTCATCCAAAAAAATAATTAGATATAAGATTTTTGGACGTATAATGATAATGACATAAGATGCCTTGCAATTCCATTTCATAAATTTCTATAATGAGCAATAAAATAGACTTTGAAGTTGGTCCCTTTCTTGGTTATTCTTGAATAAATATTTTGTTGTTTTCAAGAGTTCTAGTTTATCTTGCGGAGACACTAAGAAGGTAATATTTAATTAGATCACTTCGAAATTAAACTTGCTGAGGATTAAGTCAGAGAAAGACTCATTAGTGTGGCATTTCACTAGTAAGAACTAATAATCCAATAATTTGAAATGATTAACTTATACGTTATCTCTTTACAATGCATTCATAGCGACTAAGACTTTGTTTACATATACATTTTTTTAAAAAAAAATAAAAATAAAAATTCTAGTAGTTATCAACTATATATATATTTTTCAAAAAACATTAAATGAAATATTTATTTTCCCTAACAAAATACTAGATTAAATACTAATTTTGTTTCGACTCGATTTCAGGCCCATATTTCACTATGATATCACATGCATACAAGATTCCGAATCTGGACGAAACCTGATTGGATACTTTCGCCCTCGACTAAACTGAAAACAGTCTGGTTGCTTCCTTTCCACATAAAATGGGAGTAGAATTTGAGCTTGATTATTCTTACATTTCGAAGAGTGAGTAGTTGACTTGTTTGGGATTGTGAATATGGTAAGGTGTTGAGCAATGAAATCAAGACTAAAATTAATTTGAGGGTTTTCATTTCCATTCAATCTCAAGAGATGTTGAATATGACAAGAAAATTGGCATATACACTGAAAAGGGTGAATTTAACAAAATCACATCCACAAAACAAATCACTATACTCTAGTTAAAAGAGACTGAACTCATTCACCTGAATAGTAAGAAGTTCATTCAACAAATTCATAAATTTTCAATACAAGATAATCCTTAAGGATGCATGTAGACACTTTTGAAACATTTGTCACTATTTATCAACAGAAAATTTTAAAAAGAATACATCAAATATATTTTTTCTAATAAAGTATTACATCAAAAACATATATTTAGACAGAGACTTTTTCTTGATAAAGTCATTAACTTACAAAATAACAATATACATAGCTCCGACAACAGTCCTTTTTTATTTATTTATTCTGAAAACTCTAGTAAAAAAAAAAAAAGACATAACATTTAATATTCATTTCTATACAAATACATCATACCTAACAACTAATTCATATATTCTGTAATATAGACCAGACAGAACTTCAATTATTAGTCTGTAGATTTTCGTATAAATTTTTGTTAGTTGTTTGTGAGAGCATGGTTGAGGGATGTAAGAACCTAAAATTACACCATTAAGATATCTTGCACATATAAACTCTTCCATGGTGGATGGTACATATATATATACATGAATCGAGTGAGAAAAGTTTTGTGACTTCTTATAAATTATTTACTTCATCTTCAATTCAAAGCCACAATGTCCAAGAATTGCGAAAAGCACGCCCTAAGTGTATGTTGTATTATACACAACTGCGTCGCATTTGACAACATCATTATACCCATACTGGTCGACAGAATAAGTCGTTATAATGACATAGCCCCACGCCCTCCGGAAGGCTCCAGAGCCTCCAACTATGGAGGTCCCTCTTACTCTGTTTAGAATTGGATTCCTTCCCATAAAGCTAACTGTGCTCCCTTTGTACTCGCCGTGCGTAAAAATTAAATTGAAAATCTCACCCGTGGCCGTCTCTTTTAAGTCCTCAGTAGTAGCAGCTCCTTGGAGTCTTCCCAATTCTTTCGACTCGATTTCAGGCCCATCTTTTACAAGGATATCACATGCATACAGGATCCCGAATCTGGACGGCACCTGATCGGATATGCTTGTCCTCGCCAAGCTGAAAATACTCTGGTTGCTGTTTTTCCACACAGGATGGGTGTAGTATGTGAACCTGATTATACTTGCACTTCTCAGGGTGAGCTGGTTAGTTGTTTGGGATTGTGAATTTTGTAAGATGTTGAGCAATGAGATCAAGACTAATATTAAGTTGAAAGTTTCCATTGCCATTCAATCTAAAGATATGTTGAATATGAAAAGGAAAATTGAAATATATATATATATATTAACACTGGGAGGTTGGAGTGTTGATGAGTCAAATAACAGATTTGCACCAATCAACACATAAAAAATAGAACGCCAACACATATGGTATACAGCACATGTTGCGGTGCATATTTATAGGGTGAATTGTATGGACATATCTATTGTGTTGAGTTCAATGATATATGAATTATTGTCACATACTAAGTTTTTATTATATTAACATAAATCTTGTATTCTCATTTTATTTATAATATATTGTATGATTGTGTTCAAAGTAATGTCAACACCCTATTGAGCTCTTTTATCACCACACAAATGTCCTGCAAGAAATAATTTGGTGGTGTGGGAAATGAATTTGTAATCACGAGAATTGATATTTTATAAAAAGATATGTGAAATTTTCACAAAAAGAACACACCCACAATTATATGTATATATATATATTAATTTTTCACTCAATATATTAATCAGATCAACGTATTGGGATTCTCATCAAGGGGTTTGTTTGGGTTCAAATATTTTAAGCCACTTTTTTTCACTTTATAATCTAATTTTAAATAAAAATATATTATTATTTTTTCTTCTAAAACATCATATTAAATAAACTATTTTATAAAGTTAAATAAAAACTTAAAACCAAACAAACCCACTCCATATTGTTTTTGTTAATTATATATAAAAAGGGCCCAAAATTAAAATGACTAAAACGTACATGTACATGTTTTGCCATTTAACTATTTTTCATAACAATTTATATTCAATAATTCAATTATGCAAAAGATTATACGACAATTTTGTTTTTTTTTTTTTTTTAATCTAAAATTATCAAAGCAAAAATTCAAAATAAAACGTATACGTCCACAAAATAATAAGATATTTTGCACATACATGGTACAAACAATCGAGTTCGAAATGTTTTATGACATCTTATATATTATTTTGTTGTCTTCACATCCAAACCACAACGTCCAAGAATCACAACATGCACTCCCTAATTGAATGTTGCATTATACACAACTGCGTCGCACTCGACAACATCATTATACCCAAACTTGTCGATAGAATAAGTTGTTAAAATGACATAGCCCCACGCCCCCGGGAATGCTCCCGAGCCTCCAACTATGGCGTTCTCTCTTGTTCTTTTCAGAAATGGATTCCTTCCCATAATGTTAAGTATGCTCCCTTTGTACTCCCCGTGTGTAAAAACTAAATTGAGCATCACACCCATGGTCGTCTCCTTCAAGTCCTGAAGCGCAAAAGCTCCTTGTAGTCTGCCCAATTCTTTCGACTCGATTTCAGGCCCATCTTTCACTAGGATATCACATGCATACACGGTCCCGAAGCTGGATGGCACCTGATCGGATATGCTTGTCCTCGCCACGCTGAAAATACTCTGGTTGCTCGCTGTCCACCGAGGGTTGGTGTAGAATTTGATCTTGATTATACTTACACTTCTCAGGGTGAGCTGTTTAGATGTTTCGGACTGTGAATTTGGGAAGATGTTCAGCAATGAAATCAAGACTAATGTTAATTTGAGGGTTCCCATTGCCATTCAATATCAAGAGAGATGTTGAATATGACATGGAAAATTGATATATGTATGTATGTTTATATCTATATATGTACACGCTCAAAAAGTTTGTAAGAAAGAGAATGGTAGTTTCCCACACACAAGAAAAAAAAAAAAAAAAGAGCATCAAAATTTTTTGGAAGTATATAAATGAAAATGACATGAAATTTGTCCCTTTGTTACTTATTTTTGAATGATAATATGGCTGCTTTCCACAAATAAGTTAGTGTTTTATTTTATTTTATGAAGACACAAATGAGGTAGTGTTTAGATTTTGCTTTGAGCTTATTGAGGATAAGGTTTTGTTGAAATGATTAGCTTACATGTTTTCTATACAATGAATCCTCATAATTAAACATTAATTTAGAATTTTGAAATCTTCTTAATTCCTTTACTTCAATTATTCTCTGTAAATTTTTATTCTAGTTGATCGTACAATATTCTGATCAGCCAGATGTATACACCATTACGATATCTTGCATATACTCTTCCATGGCAAATGATCCGTACAATCTTCTCCATAGGAAGAACTTAATTAGCTTTCAATGTTATAGCGTGAAATTTTTTTGTGACACTTATCAAAAGACTATATAAGATGCAATTAATGATGCATTATTCTATCATCTTAAATTTTTAAGTGAGATTATCATTTAACATATTTTAAAATAGTAAGTCCCTAGCTAATTGAAAGACTATATAAGACCCTAATTAATAATGGAGTTACCTATCAATTTAAAGTTTTTAGCTTTTAAGTGAAATGATTATTTATCATCTTTTATATATATATATATATATATATTACATTGTTCGTCTTATATTCAAAATGAAATAACAATGCAAGGAATTTCGAGGAACTTGTCCTATGTGTAGGTCTCATTGTACACAACTACGTTGTATTTGGCAACATAGTTAGTATACTCGTCAATAGAATAAGTCGAGGTAATGGCGTAGCCCCACGCCCTTCGGAAGGCACCTGAGCCACCTATGATGGGGATCTCTCTCACTTCCTTTAGAACTGGATTCCTTCCCATAAGATTGAGTGTGCTCCCTTTGTACTCCCCGTGTGTAAAAACTATATTAACCATCATACCGAATGCCGTCTTCTCCAAGTCCTGATTGGAAAAAGCTCCTTGGGTTCTGCCCAATTTTTTCGAATCGGTTTCAGGTTTATATCTGTCACTAGGCCATCGTATGCATATACGATCCCAAATTTGGTCGGGACCTGATCGGATATGCTCGCCCTCGCCACGCTAAAAACATTCTGGCTGCCCCCTCTCCACTCGGAATGGACGTAGAATTTGAGCTTGATTATGCTTACATTTCGCAGGGTGAGTTGTTTAGCTGTGTGGGTTTGTGAATTTGTTAAGATGTTGAGCAATGAAATCAAGATTAAAATTAATTGAAAGGTTTTCATTTCCATTCAACTTAAAGAGATGTTGAATAAGACGAGGAAAATGGTTGTAATTATGTATATATGTTGTATGTATATATACACTTAAAACTTGTAAGAATGAAAATTTTAAGTTGTGCACACACAAGTAAAGAAAATTGGTGTTGGAATAATAAAAATTAACCGTTTAATGCAAAAATAGATAAAGAAAATTGCAGGAAGGATAGAATGTTCATTTTACAAATTGAATATTAATGAATTTTAATCACAACTATTCATTTCTAAATTGTTCTTAATTATTAATTAAGATTAGATGTACATTAATGAGTAAGATGAATTTAGCATATGATAAATTAATTTATATGTACATATGATCCACTCCCATAAAATTGTGAAAAATAATTCTATTAAAGAAAACAGCAACCAAGTAGGGAGATGTTGAAACTGAGGAGAAATGCATTGAATAGGAAAATGCTATATTACTAAAGCTATTAAATAAGGAATAAATGGATTCTAGGAAACTCTTTTCCTGTTAAGATAAAATATACAATACAAAAAAATATTAATTTTTTATTTTTGTCTTTAAATCCCCCTTTTCCGTTACTAAAGACATTAGAGACGGAATTGCGTTAACTACACACACTTTAGGAACGGAACTTCGTTACTAATATACCATTTTTTTGTAGTGATATCCCAATAGTGATGCTTTGTTCTTTCTGAGTACAATAACCGGTTGAACCCATCATCTTGTGAAGGTAAATTCCGGTTGAACTTAACAGTGTAGAAACTAATTAAATCCAGCAAAACAAATCAAATTAGACGAACTATTTATGACAGGCAAGACCCGGAGACATCGGAGGTTTGAAATCATGACCCGAGTCCACCCTCGCACTGCTAGGTCATCCTTTACGGACTATTTCCTTTTCTTTTTTTTTTTTTTATTATGGTCGCTTTCTAGTGATCTATTTTATTTTATAAAGACACATATGAGGTAGTGTTTAGATTGTACCTATATGGACGCTTTGAGCTTAATGAGGATAAGTTTTTGTGTGTACGGAATTTGTGTGTCCTTTTATAATTTTTATGATAATCCAAAAATTGAAACTATTGGCTTGTATGTTATCTTAATATGACAGTATAATGGTAAATTAGATGGGTACACCATCTTTAGTTACAGTTATGTATAATATTCCAAAATTAAAATCATTAAAAGATGTAGTTGTGATCACGTACGTTTTTTATTGCTATTTATATGTTTTACCATTCAATATCCAAATTTTCCTTTTTAAAAGAAAAATTGTTTTGAAGATAATAAAACAACAAAATCTAAAATTTGGGAAAAAAATTGGATAAACTCAAGTTCTACATCCGGAAAAAAGAAATTGTTAGTTATAAGTTAATATCTAACTCCACATAGCATGAGTGTTTCGGAAGAGTTCAAAAACAAATCATCAATTTGAGTTTGACAAAACACAGACAATATCATAATAATGTGAGTTAGATCAATCACAACAAACTAATCCTTGATTTTGAGGGAAGAATTTGTTGACAATATCATACTAGTATGTCGTCACAAACCGATCGCAACAAAAATACAAACATAAGTGAGCATAATAGAAACAACACATTATTCCATGGTGGAAATTACATACAATCTTCCTGCAGGAAGCTCTGTACTGTGACAAGTTTCACAATATCTTAGACATTATTTTGTTCGTCTTCAATTCCAAGCCATAACGTCCAAGAAATGTGACGAGCAGGTCCTATATATATGTCTCATTGTACAAAGTTACATCATATCTGGCAACATAATCAATCCCATCAGTAGAAGAAGTCGAGGCAACAGCATATCCCCATCCCCTGCTGAAGGCACCGGATCCTCCAACAATGGAGACCTCTCTTACATCATCCAGAATAGGATTCCTTCCCAAAATGTTCATTGTGCTCCCTTTGTACTCCCCGCCTGTGAAAACTACGCTGTTCATCATAGTGAAGGCAGTCTCTTCAAAGTCGGCAAATGCAATAGGTCCTTGGATATTGCCCAATTTAAACGAATCGACTTCAGGTCCATCTGTTACTAGGATATAAACTATGCTCATGACCCCGGTTCTGGACAGCCGCTGATCAGATATCCCGGTCCTCGCCACGCTGAAAACACTCTGGTTGCCCCCTATCCACACAGCATGGGTGTAGAATGTGAGCTTGACTATACTTACATTTCCCAGAGTGAGTTGTTGAGTTGTTTGGGATTGTGAATTTGGTAATATGTTGAGCAATGAAATCAAGAATAACATTAATTTGAGGGTTTCCATTGCCATACAATCTCACAAGACGTTGAATAAGACAAGGATCGAGGGTATACTTATGCATGCATATATATATATATATATATGAATGATATATCCAAACATATAGAGTTGGGAAATAAAAATCGCTTATAATTTACTTGTGTTTTCATATACTACTTAATTACTGATTTAGAAATTGTATAAGACTATTTTGTATTTTAGAAAATATTATGCAGAATTTACTAAATATTGCACAGGATTTTATTTCCAAAATATTACACATAATCCCACTACAAAAAAAAAAACTATAAAAGAATTTCATAGCAAAATGTAATTTTATGATTAAACTCATTTCGTCGTCTATACCACCTTAGTAAAGGTCTTTGGCAATAAATATGACTTTCGTAATAAAAAATAAGTTTTTTACAATGAAAGTTAAGTAAGAAAAGAGATACAGCTATGAAAATATGATTTTTTTTAGTTAAAGCTCTTTTGCTATAAATTAAAATTCATAACAAAAGAGTTTTAAACAACAAAATGTATATGATTTTTTTAGCCAAATGATTTTAGCTATGAAAAAATAATTTTGTAGCTAAAACCTTTTTGTAGTACATAATTTATTGTAGTGATGAAATTAATTTTGTTTGCTAAATGATATGTTTTAACTACAAAAATGTTATAGTTAAAAATATTATAGCTAACTAGATATTTTTTTGTAATGTCCCGTAGAAAACAAGGAAGTTTAATACCAATTTTTAAAATTATACGGAATAATAATATAGACTTTTAAACTATATATTGGCTATGAACAATTTCTCCGATAGAGTTTTAATAGTTAGAATTAATGGAGACTGTCCATACACAAGCAAAATAAGCAATGATAATATTGGACGTATAAATGATAAAGACATAAAGTTGGTCCCTTTCTTACTACTTTTTGAATGAACGTATAGCTTCTTGCTAGTGGTTTATTTAATTTTGTGGAAGTACAAATGAGGTAGTGTTTAAATTGTGAATGGATGCTTTGAGCTTGTTGATGGGCTGTTATTGTCCAATGTTGATTAATTACAGGTTGTTCGATCATACACGTAAAAAAAATAAAAAATACCGTATTTTTACAAGGCTAATTTACTGTCCAATTTTGATTAATTACGTGTTGTTTAATGTACACATACAAAATCAAAAGGACCTTATTTTCTCAAGACTAAGAGTGTTTCGCGATTCAAAAATGGCGAATCTGGTCTGAACCATCATTTTTAGTTACTGTCAAATGTGGATTAATTATCGGTAGTTTGAGCATAGGCTAAGAAAATCAAAAGGACCTTATTTTTCTCAAGTCTAATTTACAGTCCAATATTGATTTATTACCAGTTATTTGATCAAACACGTCAAAAATTAAAAGCACCATCTTTGATCAAGCTAATTTACTAATTTCACATATATTGATCATTTCATATTTTTAATTGTTGACCCAAAGTTCTAAAGGTGTTGTTCATATATATTAATGTTGTTGATAGAAATAAAAAAACCTACAATCAATAAAAGAATTCTAAAGGTTGCTGAGTAATTGAAACTAATGTAATGTTTATTCTTTATGTAGGTACAATCCATATATAATAATATTGTTGAGTAATTGAAACAAATGTAATATCCACTCAATATATGTGTATAGAGTATACTAACTACTACATATTTATAATTTCCTGACATGCATCTTTGTTTGGAAAAATTTAAACCGGAAAAGGTAAAAAGAGTAATGACTTGAATTTTCATATCGGATCATAATTAGACACTCTCCAAAAATTGTATCTGGACCTTACTGCCGAGTATTAAGAAGTTTTTATAGGGATGACTTTCTTTGATCTTGCAACAAAATTAAGAATAAAAATTCGAAGATTTTAATAGATAAGAAATTAAAGATACCTATAAAATAGAATAAATCGGAATTAATTTTGATTTTTAGAGATTCTACATGGATATAGAACTTAATCTGATTTAATTCCATATATCAATCTCATTGTAGCTTCAGATTTTGAGTTTGATCTCCTTGTAATTCCAGAGCATGCATAATATTTATAGAATGGATCCGGACTTTCAACCTAAAACTAATTGGTAATAGATAAAGTGGCTCTTCATCCTTATAAACCAAGGGAGTTCCCACGTGTTTAGCAATGTGAGACAATATTCAAAAAAAAATTATAAGAAAGAAGTCATATCTTATAATTAACTCTACTAGTGTGAGACCTTTTAAAAGAAGTTAAAAAACAAAGCCGTGCAAGCTCGACACAAAGCAGACAATATCATATTAGTTTTGAATTGTCTAATCCTAACAATTGGTATTAGAGCTTGGTTCGAAAGGGGAAGCCCACATTGGAAGATATGGTCCTTGATTTGTGGGGTGGAAGATATGGTGCAGAGAGGATTATTGGCGAAGCAATGTGTTAGTATTATTATTGTTGTTTGTGTGAAAAGTTTTATGACATCTCATATATTATTTTGTTCGTCTACAATATTCCAAACAATAACGTCCAAGAATTGCGACGAACAGGTCCTATGCATACGTCTCATTAAACAATACAACATCATATTTGGCAACAAAATTAATCCCATACTCATCAGTAGAATAAGTCGACGTAATGGCGTAGCCCCAGGCCCTTGGGAAGGCACCGGAACCTCCAACAACGGCTAGCTCTCTTTCTTTGTTCATAATTGGGTTCCTTCCCATAAGGTTGATGGTGCTCCCTTTGTACTCCCCCTGTGTGAAAACTACGGTGAGCATCACACCAAAGGCCGTCTCCTTTAAGTCCACCGATGTAGCAGTTCCTTGGATTCTACCCAATTTTTTTGACTCATTTTCAGGTCCATATGTCACCAGGACATCACATACCTCCAGGACCCCGAATCTTGATGGCACCTGATCGGTTATGCTCGCCCTTGCCACGCTGTAAAGAGTCTCGTTGGTCCCTATCCACGTAGGATGGGTGTAGAATGTGAGCTTGATTATACTTACATTTCGAAGAGTGAGTTGTCGAGTTGTTTGGGTTTGTGAATTTGCTAAGATGTTGAGCCATGAAATCAAGACTAAAATTAATTTGAGGTTTTCCATTGCCATTCAATCTCAAGAGATGTTGAATAAGATGAGGAAAATGGATATACCTATGTATGAATATATATATATATATATATATATATGCATAAGAACTGTAAGAATTCAAATGGAGATTGTCCACACAAGCAAAATAAGTAATAAATATTCTAGACGTATAAATGATAAAGACGTATGAAGTTTTGTCCCTTTGTTACTTATTTTTATAAAATTATGGCTTGCTTCTAATGGTTTGATTTTATTTTGTGAAGGCACAAATGAAGTAGTGTTTAAATCGTGTGTGGTTGGGTGGTGTCATTAGAATCGATAAGATATTATTATTCGATAAGTTTTCAGGCATTAGATCTCAACTTCACTTCCTGAATAATTAGTAAATGTATTGGGCATCAGGTACAACTCCACTCTGTTGCCAAAATTCATATTTTGAAAGAAACATTGCATTTTATTTAGTTTCATTTTTTTTTTCTAGTTTTCCATCAAATATTTTTTTCTCCATAATTTAACTCAGTCTTGATCAAATTCAGTAACTTGTGTAAATTCATTTTTGACAGATGACACAGGAAAAACAATTTGAGAATTCAGACAGGATCCTATGCATATGTCTCATTATACAATACTACATCCTATTTGTTAACATAATCATCTCATACTCGTCGACAGAAGCTGTGATAACAGCATAGCCCCACGCCCTTGGGAAGGCATCGGAGCCTCCCACAAAATGATTCTATTACTCAATTAGTTAGACAACGTAGAAATTGCTACTCGGCTAGGTGGACTATAGAGGTGTCGGCGAAAGTAGCTGGAGGACTTAATTCAACTTATGAAATGTAGTATATTGATAGGAAGCACATTGTTGCTTAATTAATTAGTCGTGAGCGACAAGGAGAAAGGCTTGTTGAACACATCATGTAACACTGATTTCCAGCCACGATTCAAATACTTTCAACGACATCATTTCACTTTTTGTAGTTTAAATTCTTGGTGTAAATTTAGTTTTAGTACATATCAATTTTCAATTCTCGATCTCACATATTCATGCGCACTAACGTCAGAATTCTCCTTCAATGTTAAATTTTCTAAGTTCGACCCGACATTTAGCGGTTATCACAAAAAATAAAATAAAAAAAAAAAAAAAAAAAACTTAATATCTTGAATCTGGGATCTAAAACAAACATTGCATATAATTTCCATACCAAAAGTTAGTGCATCATGTCTACAGAACATAATCGGTAACAACTTATAATCACTTTTGATATCCATTTTCAATACAAAAATATCATTTAACAACTATGTTTACCTTTAAAAAAGAAAAAAAAAAAAAAAAAAAAACAAAGCAGATAACATAAAATAAGAACATAAGCAAACAAAACAATTCATAATGTTCTTTATATTAGGAATAAAATCAATTAAGCATACTCAAGACATAATGTACTGTGAAATGTTTTATGACATCTCATATATTATTTTGTTCATCCTTAAATTCCAAACCATACAAAGTCCAGGATTTGCAACAATCTAGACCTATGTGTATGTCTCATTATACACAACTGCATCGTATTCGACAACATAACTATTCCCATACACGTCGACAGAATAAGTCGTAAGAAGTGCATAGCCCCACGCCCTCCTGAAGGCTCCCGAGCCTCCAATGATTGGGACCTCTCTTACTTGGTTTATAAATAGAATCCTTCCCATACAGCTGAGCGTGCTCCCTTTGTACTCGCCGTTCGTAAAAACTACATTGATCATCACACCTAAGGTTCTGATCTCCTTCAAGTCCTGAGTTGCAATAGTTCCTTGGCTTCTGCCCAATTTTTTGGATTCAGGATCAGGTCCATCTGTTACAAGGATATCCTCTGCATACAAGATCCCAAATCTTGACGGCAACTGTTCGGATATGCTTGCCCTCGCCACACTGAAAACAGTCTGGTTGCCTCCTATCCACACACGATGGATGTAGAACTTGAGCTTTGTTATACTTACATTTCGAAGAGTGAGTTGTTGAGTTGTTTGGGTTTTTTAATTTTGTATGATGTTGAACAATGAAATCAAGATTAAAATTATTATGAGGGTTTCCATTGCCATTCAATCTCAAGAGAAGTTAAATAAGACAAGAAGAATGAACATACATATGTATATATATACATATATATGGCTATAGTTGTACTGAATGCTGACGCATGATTTATGTTAATATAATAAATATACAACAGATAAACTGACAGCAACATAACAAGTGTCCGTTCTACACACAACCATTGATCTAAGTACACGAAATATATTCATACAACACATCTTATAAATATGAACGGTTAGAACATAATTTCAATTAATACAATATGTGATAATTAATAATAGTATACCTATTTTTCATTTTTTATGTGTTGATTGCGGTAAGGAATTAGAATCATACTGATTTCTCCATACATGGTTATATATGTATACACTTAAGAGTGGTAAAAGATAACTAATGGAGGTTGTGATAATGGCATGAAGTTGGTCCCTTTCCTACCTAATTTCGAATGATGATGATATTGTGCTTTCTAGTGTTTTATTTTATTTTGTGAAGGCCCAAAGGTGGTTATGTTTAGATCGTGTGTGGATGCTTTTAGCTTTTTGGGGTAAGGTCTTATGTGTACGGAATTCCAATGGTAAGAACGGGTACCCAAACTCTTTTAAGGATATGTTTGTCTGGGTAGTTTGAATTTTGAATTGAGATTTGAACAGTAAAAATTTTGAATTGTAACAGTGTATGATGCAAAATAAATAGGGGTTGATATGATATTCTGAATGTAAAACTAATTTTTAGTATAATATAAAAAAATAGGACGTTTGATTTAATGTTTGAAAGAAATTTAGATGAATAGTACAATTTTGTCAAAATGCTTTAAACGAATACACCCTAGAATGATTAGGCCATATATTACACTTCATTCCTTTGTTTATTATAAGATACAAACTACTTTTCTTTTTTTTATTTATTTGTATTTCGTTTTGATATAATAATTAATATTCAAATATTAACAGTTAAAAATATAAATATAGCACTAAGAGCTGGATAAAAAGAGTATTAGACTATTTTCAACTCACTGTATTTATGCAGTGGGTTAGCTTGAATTTGGCAGGTTGGACTCCAATCCAATTTCATTTTTAACTTCATTTATGGAGTTATCTACATTGTTACTTCAAAAATAAAAGTATTATTCGATAGTACATTTATTAAATTGAGAAATTGTAATTTTATTTTAGACGAACAAAAATAAAAAATGGTAACCTTTCAATACGAGGGAGAAAGTATATAATTTTATTGAAACCTCAACAAGGCTGGGTGAAACCTTGTCCAAGCCGGGTTCTTGCATGTGAGAGAAATGATAAAAACTCATAAGATAATGCGAGAGATAATAATTAATTGTAAAAGATGCTCGAAATAACAAATTTTATTATAATAAAAACTAATAAGATAACGAGAGATAATAAATAATAATTAAAAAAAATTATAACAAATGTTCTATCGGTGCTACTTTATTCATAAATACTTCCTCCGTCTCAAATACCATGTCCATATTGACGTTTCTGTCCGTACCATGTCACCTTTTTTTTTAAATATTACACAATTTATAATTATTTATATTATAGGATAATTATTTTCACTAATACATTCTTAATTATCTTAATGTGTAGCAGACATGGTATTTGAGACGGAGTGAGTACTAATTAACCGGTGTTGATTTAAATCGACATACAATTGTTGAGTCCAATATAGGTGCAGAAATGTAAATATGAAATAATTTTGATCCGAAACTTAGATACAGAAAAGTATAACAGGCTAAATTGCAAAATCAAAAAGAATTTTTGGAGACGGAACATGAGAGGGCGAAAAATCGGTGAAACTAGATTTAGAATCTTAAAAAGTTATGTCGATCCTTGTTTTGTCCCATTATCGTTTGGTGTGGAGAGAGTCCAATCATTCGTCACACATCTGAGGGGTTCTGGCGACTGTGGTTTTGCAAGGCCCACGAAGCTGCCTTCCTCGATTGTAGTTCGAAACGATGGTGGTTGGTGTTCTAGCTTTGCAGGGATCTTTCAACGAACACATTGCGGGTATTGTCTCATTCTGCCGCCATTTCAATTCTGCGTGTCTGCATCTATGTATGTGTAATTGCGTTCTAACTGCGTGTACGTAAGCTTGTTGAAGTAATGAATTTGTGTGCGTCGGTTTTGCAGCGTTGCGAAGGGTTGGGGTGAAGGGGGTGGAGATAAAAAAGCCAGAGCAGTTGCAGAATGTGAATGCTCTTATTATACCCGGAGGCGAGAGCACAACCATGGCCAAGCTTGCGGAATATCACAATCTCGTACGTGTTTTTTTTAACTGCTTTTGATGGTTATTAAGCAATCGTGAATCAAGGGCTGTGGAATTTTGGGGATGATTCGATTGGGGGATTCTGTTAATGCTTTTATGTGTTTAAATGTTGTATTGTAAATTGGGAATGGAATGATTGTATCTAATGGTGGAGAAGAGTTGGTATAAAACTAATATTGTGTCTGAGTTTGGGCATCAGCAAGAAAATTTATTGTTACCTGTGGATTTGAGTGGTTTAGTTCTTGAATTCAAGAGTCTGAATTTTGGTTTTACACAGGTGATGAACAGTGAATGTATCTCTCACATATTTATGTACTAGTATTCTTTAATAATTGGCAATCAATTCTTTGTGGAAACTAGAAAATCCTATAGTTCATAACCCATTTATGTGCTCTCTTATTGAATAAACTATGAATGATCCCTTTCTTTCCCAAAGTTTGTTTGTTTGATTTCTTATTTGTGTTTAATTTAGTTTGCTTTCTGTCCTGTGTGATTTTGGTGTCTGGTGCTGAGCCTGGGCCTGGGAGTTGTATCCAGATCTTCGTGATGGATGTTAAGAAGGGTTCAGAATCCGGAATCCTTCTTAACATGGTATAAGAGCCGTGGTGGCTGTATGGGGTAATAATCTTGATTGGGGTTTGGTTTCAAGATGGATATCATCTCAGGAAGTGTTTAATATTGTCTTACATTGGAAAATGTTGGGAAACTCCCTTAGGTTATAAGGGTGAAAGGGCTATTCCACTTAATACCGATTGGTTTTAAGTTGGAACCTCGCAACCCTTTTTAACGAAGGATATAATTGCAAACAAGATAAAAAATTTAGTTCCAAGTATCTTCCTTCAACTTTGATGCAGGTGACTGTTTTGATACTAAGTGTTATTAAGATTTAAAGTACAGATTTTAGTGGTTTTTTGCTCTGGAGATGTCAATAATAAAAATGAAGATTATAGTGGGTGAAAAGAAACAAGCTAGTTAGTTTTTGTGGAGTCCATAAGAAGTCAGAAATTTGTAGGTACTAGGTAGGCTTTGGAAGAGTGCTAACATAGATCACACAATTCCTCTCTAGGCTCATTGAGAATGCTCTTACTTCCCGATATGGCTATGGCACTATGAATTTAGTTTCAGGGCCCTCAATGTGTGTCTTGTGTTTGTGCTTGTCCTCACTCTGTTGGAATACAAACTACAGAGATCAAGATTTTGATATTTCTAACAATTCTGAATGTACAGTATCATGCTATGCTGTGAACAAATAGAGATAACATCCTTTTGTGTTTTATTTGGTGCAACTGCAGTTTCCAGCATTACGGGAGTTTGTCAAAATGGGAAAACCAGTTTGGGGAACCTGTGCTGGTCTTATATTCTTGGCTGACAGAGCAATTGGTAGGTATTTACCTGTTGTCATATATGTGTTTTGCTGATAATTACATACTTTTGTATATATTGTGAAAAATTTAAGCTTTCATATTTGTCTCCATGACACTTCAATCATGTTTTGTGAAAGATATCCCTTTTGTATTTTGGTTTATAAGCTCATGGGCAATAATTTGTTTCAGGTCAGAAATCTGGTGGACAGGAACTTGTCGGTGGCCTAAATTGTACAGTTCACCGAAACTTCTTTGGCAGTCAGGTATAACAAATGGCATTTTCAATTTCCACATACAACCTATGGTGTTCTTAATTTTTGTTGTTGTGTGCACTCCTGCATGTGATACCATGTCTCCATTGTATGTAAGTTTATTCTTGTTTATTTGATAATTATGTCTGGGCACTAAAATCATGGGGTTTATGATCATTTGTATAGGTAAATTGCAAAATATCAAATTCACATGTTTTTGTTAGTATCTCTAAAAAGGTTTAGGAACTCTTATTATATTTTAAAGAATCTCACTCCTCTTTTTGGGATTTTAGTTCATTGTCTAACCCTCCGGAGCAATTATACTGCACTTGCACTAGTATCGCATATTTCAAGGACTAATATGCATGTGTGTTGTTGAGAAAAGGTATAAATCTTATATACTCACTTGAGGACAGAGTTCTTATGAATTGATATTTAACTTCTCTTTATATTGAGACAGAGATAACAGTGTTACTTAGGTTCATGGATGACTGTTGATTTAATACATAAAATGGGAATGCATTTTCTACTTGCAGACTATAAACTAATCCTACATTACTATAAACTATAAACTAGTCCTCAGATAGAGTGATATATTCCTGCCCCAAGGTTCAAGTTATTGTTCTTTCCTCCTTTCCCTCATTATTTTGACAACAATACTTTATGTAAATGAACATTGCTGCCGTGCATCAGATTCAAAGCTTTGAAGCAGAGCTTTCAATTCCTGATGTTGCAGCCAAAGAGGGAGGTCCACCTAGCTTCAGGGCTGTGTTTATTCGTGCCCCAGGAATCCTTGAAGTAGGCCCTGAAGTTGAAGTGTTGGCAGAAGTTCCTGTTCCATCTGGGAATACGGCTCTAGCTGATGCTGCTGTTGAAAGTGTAGAGGTAAATTTTGTTTTTTCACATTGTTGCTTGATGCATATATATATATATATATATGTCCTTGGTTTATCATTTCCATTGGAGGGGCTGGAGAATTCAATAATACTTTCAGTAAAGATTGCATCATTCTATTTTCTGGTTTAAATCTTCCAATTTATTCTTCGTGGACATCTTATTATTATTATTATTAATTGTCATTTTTAAGCCATTAATGGTGAGTTCCTTTGTATACGTGTGAGTTGTGTGTTTATGTTGCTTCACGCAATTTTTTTGTCTATATGAAACTTGGTTGAAAGTATGGTTTGCCATAGTAGAAAAATCTAAAGATATTCTCCATAAGTTGCCTTACTATATATATATCTTGTAAGTTCAATTTTGAGAATTGTATCGAGCAGCGTATTTTATTGAGGAACTAAAGTATGTGATGCTTTCATGATAACTTGGAGCTATAGCCTATAGCCTCGTCGGTCCTATCTATTTTATTTTGTCTCGACAGAAATCAACTGACATGTTAATCTAATGAACAATGCCGTAGAATTTAAAGATTTAAAGATCTTTTTAAGATGATGCCTACGGGTTGAAAAGTTATAAATGCGGTACCATGAACAGCACGAGATAGAGTTATGTTCGAGGTAGCAGTATCATGGCTTGTCTTGCACTAAATTGCATTTTATCTTTGAGCATATGAATTATTGTGATGTAGTAGTGAACACAATACGAAGACTTTCCTGTCCTAGTTTGCAACTCCCTAATGCACCTCGAAACAGTTGAGTGCTAATTATTATGTTACTAAATCTGCATGTACCAGGGAAATGCTGCCGCAGAAAAGACAGTGATTGTTGCGATAAAGCAGGGAAGCTTGCTGGCAACCGCCTTTCACCCTGAACTGACTGCGGACACCAGATGGTCTGTCTGTTTTCTGTGTCTTATCTTTCAGTCGAAGCAAACATTAATTTTTTTTGAAGCTATTCCCTTCCTCATCTGTCTCTGAATTTTTTTTTTTTTTTTTATGGACTGTCGGACAGGCATAGTTATTTCATGAAGATGGTGGACGAGAGCAGCCAAGACAGCAGCAGTCCTGTCTTGTTTGTGGACGCAAAACCTAAGTATGATCTCCCAATATTTCAACATTAACAAAACTAGGACTCATCTCCTCAATATTTGGCTCTGTTCTTTGCTTTACCAGAATTGTTATGATAGTAGTCGAATGAAATTTATTTATTTATTTAATATTATGATTATGATTATTGTTATTATTATTATTTTGTTGTTGACCTTGTTTCTAAGTTCTGGCTGCTCCCTTATACATAAAATTAAGAATTCTTTTATTATTTTCCAATTAAAAAAAAAAGAATTCTTTTATTATATTTAATATTATTATATTGCAAATTATATTTCAATTAACAATATCACTTTGAATATTCATTTACACTATTCATCCAATTTTTTTTCCCTAAAAACATCAAATCAAACGTTTATTTTTTATTTTTTATATTATACTAAAAATTAATTTTACATTCAAATTCAAAATTTTTACTATTCAAATTCCAACTCAAAATTCAAACCCCCAAACAAACACACTCTAAATTTTTATTTCAATTTCACAATTTTGAATCAGCATTGTAATGAAATTGATCGTATCATTCAGGAACTTAGCATGTTTAATAATTCAAGTCTACATTAAAAATAATACAGACTACAACAAAACAAAGAGCTCTAATAGTAACAAGGCCATTTATGATTTTTTCCCAATTATATAACTTATAAAACAAAGAGCTCTAATACTAAACAGAGGTTTCTGTTTGTTCTTAGAAGTGTGGCATGAAACATGTGTTATCTATTTTGAGCTGGAAAATATTTTTTTCGAATTGCGATATTTACATCTAATTTACTATTATCTTTATGTTAAAATATATTAGAAACAATATATTATATTTATGGTAGTTGTCTATTTTAAAAGATTCGTAGGATTATTAAGTTATTTAGAAGATTTGATATCACTATATATAAATACATATTCTTATGATTGAAATAGAAAATTTCAGTTTATTATTCTAATACGGTATCAGAGTCAAATTTTTTTCGGGTATATCCACGACCCTTTATATTCCATATGTATTTTTATAGTTTATTGATGTATCTACTTCTATTCACAATCATGTTATTTCCATGTCATCTCCGTCTATACTACTCCATTGACAGAGTCTATTTTCGACTCTAATGCCGTTGAGAGCCTTATTTTCAACTCTAACTCCATCGAGAGCGAAGTAGTCCTATTTCCATCTCTAGCTCTGTTGTGAGCTAGCAAGTCCTGTTTCCGACTCTAGCTCTGTTGTGAGCGAGTGAGTCCTTCTTTCCGACTCTAGCTCTATTAAGCCTGAGCGAGTCCTGTTTTCGACTCTAGTTCCATTGTGAACGAGCGAGTCCTATTTTCAACTCGGTCTTGAGTTTTAATTCTGACTCTGATTTAATGGATGACTACACCACTTTTAGTCAATGGAAACTTCAAGTTTGTTCGTTGAAGATCTCAACTATATCTTTTTTGGTTACTTCAGACAAACTCAAGTTTGTTCAATTATATCTTGAATTTGAGGAGGGGTGTTAAAATATATTTAGAAGCAATATATTATATTTATAGTAGTTGTCTTATTTAAAAGATTCGTAGATTCTCACTATAAATATATACGTATTCTTATGATTAAAATGTAAAAATTTCAGTCTTATATTATACTATTATGTATTCAGTTTCCGTGCTTGAAAGCGCCATTATCTTTTGTTTCACCAAACACTATGAGATTGGACCTGAATCAAGATTAATAAAGTAACATTGGTACTTTTCTTATCATTTACACAAGGCCTAGCTAAGAGCAGAGGAAATGAGTATATTCTTGTTTCCATTTCAATACCTGATTCCAAACTTCATTGTCCTTGTAATAAATGAAGAACACACCTCGCAGCTCCTAGATGGATCTTGCTTGGATTTTCACTATAAAAAAAAAATAGTATATTTGTAACGGAATTCCGTCCCTAAAGTTCACGTAGTTAATGTAATTTCATCCATAATTTCATCTCTAATGACGTTAGTAACCGAAAAAATGAATTTAGGGACGAAAAACCCCGCTACAAAAATGATATTTTTTTGTAGTATATATGCATGAAGCAAGAGATACGGCCTACTGCATAAACAATGTTAGGCCTTATATGTGTAAGATAACGAGGGAAACCCGCAATGCTTCTGAATTTCTTTTCATCGACCTTCCCAACACCATCATTAAGTTGCATCTTTTCATTTGTGATTAGTGGATTCTGAACAACATTAGAATTTTCCATTCCAGCTTTCTTTAATAAATCTGCAGCATGTTTCTTTTGACAAATAAAAATAATATGTTCATCTTGAATAACTAGGATTCCCAAAAAGTATTGTAGCTAACCAAGATCAAGTATCTCAAAAGCCTGCATCATGGACTTATTCACCTTCTTTATGATTCTTGGAGAGTTTCCTGTATAAATCATATCATCAATGTACTATCAAAGTGAGCAAAAATCTTCACCTTCAAATTCCACACAAAGTGTATGCTCATTACAACTACACCGAAAGCCATTTTCAATAAATTACTATACCAAACCCTTACTTTTCATGAACATCTTCAAGATCACCATTTAGAACTGCAGATTTTAGTTTTTACCTCTAAATGGAACATTTCCCAACCATGGTTGGCTGCCACTCCCCAAAATGGTATCGAAAAATGCAACAAGAGCCAACATGCAACATCCCATAATTTATTATTTGCGTGCTATCCCAATCAATTATTTTGGTACACAAGAACAGAAATAAATATACAAGACGGGACTGGCGCTGTCTTGGCTGCTCTCGTCCTCCATCTTCATGAAAAATCTATGCCTGTCCATCCAAGAAAATATTGGAGGAGGAAGGGAATAGCTTCAGAAACATTAGTGTTTATTTCTACCTAAGGATAAGAAACAGTGAAACAGACAGACCTTCGGTTGCCAGCAAGTTTCCCTGCTTTATTACAACGATCACTGTCCTTTCAGCCGCAACACTTTCCTAGTACACAAATTTAACAATATCAAACCAGAGAGGTAATATCATATTTTGTCCTCATATTTAACCGTATTTTCATTATGTATCTCTATTATTTACTAATTAGCACATTTTTTTATTTTTTCTTTAATTAAGATCTTAATTCTTAAATTAACATTCTAATTGTGTGGCTGACTTCTCACTTACTTTTTCTCTTCTCACTATTTTCTCTCTTTATATTAAATACTTTTCTCATTATACTTTCTCTCTCCTAATAATAAACCTTCTACTGCACTGCCATATTCTCTTACAGATTTGCATGATGATTAGGGTTGAGGAGATTGTCTAGATTCAAAGTCGTTGATTGTCGGTTGTGGAATCCAGGAGGTCGACTAACATTGAAGGTGTACGTATGTAGTCCGCTCTCTTGTACCAGTTAGGAACATTCTTGTCGGAATTTCCAGCTCCCAGGGAGACATCACGCCCTCTGTTATCTATACCAGGTACCCCGATGATATGGTGACCGATAAGTTCCTCTACTATGGATTCTCTGACGTACAATCGAGTTGCCTTGCTAGGTCTCGCCAGTCTTGCCTGCATGAGGTCGTGATGCTACTCATGTATGGAGAGTTCGAATAGTTGCCCATCTCTTTTTTTATACCGTACGTGGAGCTTCCACCTCATAAGGCGCTCTAGGGATGGAGGTATGCCCAGCCCAGGCTCTTAGCAGATCAACTGCTGCACTATGCTGCCAAAATCGTACTTGTCCAACTCGATCGAACAGCTTCCTGTGACAAATTGGTATGTGAATTAGAAGTGTTGAAAGATTACAATGACAATAATAAAAAAACAAAAAAAAAAAAACACAAAAACATCATCGTCCTCATCATCATCACCATCTGTAATTCATTGATTTGAAATTAATAAACTTGAAAAACCCTAAAGGAATGAATTTATTACTTACTCGCTTCCAAAGGTTGGGATCGGGCTTTTTCATAACAATGACGGACTTGATTTGGTCTGGCAGCTTGGCTTTCCAGCGACAGTAGAGTTAGGTGCCGTGGTGGAAACTGTAACTTGTTGGTTTAGGATCGAAATCGACGATTTTACTACTGGTGGGAGATGTACCTGTAACCTCAAATCAGAACAATTGCCTCTATCTTAGTCATCAAATTAGCTAATAAATCTACCCAATGAGTTCGCAAGGAATTATATATATATATGTTATATATGTGGATTTCAAAGACAAGCACACAACCATTTGGGAGCGTAGTAATCGAATTGTTCACTCCGGTGAAACCTCCACGCTTTCGGTAAGGGTCGTTAGGATTCTGAACATCACAGAGGTGGTTTGAGATCAAAGGCCTCGTGTTTTGAGCCACCATCAGGAACCACTACCGTTGCCACTGACATCTCCGCCGCCACCTTTGCCGTGGCTGCCGCTGCATCATCACAAGAATCGACAAAATAGGTTGTATAGCATAAAAATTGAGAAAGAAAGCAAATGTTATATGTGTGAAACATGACGCAATCACATGTGGCCACGTGTTTTCTCACTCAGTAATATTTGGCCATGTGTTTTTTCAGTCAACAATCTATGACAATTAGGGTGAATAGAGTATTAATTAAAGAAAAATCTAAAAAGTGCACTGATTAATAAATTCAAGGGACAAATTTTGAAAAATTAATAATATTGGGATACATAATAAAAAGACAGTTAAATATGAGGATAAAATATGAGATTACCCCTCAAACTAGCTATCCAGTCAAAAAACTAAATTTTAACTCATAAGAAGCCTATATGAACTACAGTCTACCATTTTTTGTTTCGGCCGTGGAAAATAAATTAAAAAAATTCAGAACTTCTTTCGGAAATAATATAATCCACCACATAAATAATATATTGTGTAAGAGAGAGAGAGAGGAAGCATGTACGTAGAAAAACAGAAGTATTGTATTATACTTACTACATATTGAGGAGAGGAGTTCCTGTTTTGTTAATATACTTAGCCTTTGTGCCCACAAACAAGATGGGACTGGTGCTGTCTTGGTTGCTCTCGCCCACAGTCTTCATGAAATAACTATGCTAGTACATCCAAGAAAATATTCAGCGACAGAGGAGGAAGGGAATAGCTTCGGAAAACATTAGTGTTCACTTCTACTTTAGGATAAAAACAAAGAAACAGACAGACCGTCGGGTGTTTGCAGTTAGCTCTAGAT